CTTTACCTGGTAACAATTATGCATATTGTGGAAATTACTAGATTCATCGAATCGACGTCTGTAAATGACCGATTATTTCTCTCTGAGTCTAAAACCTTAATTTAAGTAATATCTCGAGATGTTAATACAGTTTTGCGATTGGTTCATGACATAAATCTTAAGATTACATTTAAGACGATCTGCTTAAATATAAGTAATCTACTACGAATATTATCGGTCCAAAATTTGCAATTCTGGGCATTGAATGTTGCATTTTTTAGTTGGTTAAACATTTTTGGATTGGATGACTCCTCGCTAATATCTATTTTGTCTGAATTTAATCTATAACAAAAATTAATATTTGTTTATTAGTTGTCATTCACCATTTATAAATTTCAATTATTCATGAATTTTAATCATTCATAAATTTTATAATTTAAATAATATTGACAAACAACACTCCGCGATGGTGAAATTTCTTCTATGATCATTTCTTGAAAACTTGCAATCGATTGATGGGTCTCGTTGATCCTCGAATTGTTTCCCTTGGGTACATTTTCTTCCGGTGGTCTACTATATTTAAATATTAGGTTTAATTTGAGAGTAATACCAATATTAAAATATTAGGTTTAATTTGAGAGTAATTATCTGGTTGGTTTAAGTTGAAAATTTTGAAATGTGCTTTTAGAGACAATTTTGATAAAGTGATTATTATAGTAAGAATTAACTTGCGAATTAAGGCAATCTATTAAAACTCTTTAAAAAAAAAAAAAATAAAAAATTCAAACATTTAGTCCACAATCATTATACCGACTTTGAAAGGGATATACGACTCTGAAAGAGATATATCGACAAGTAGCATTATGATTTTTGGCTTAAAAATTACCTAATCACTACGCCAAGTATATAACAACAATCTTCATTTCCCCGACTCACAGCGAATCTTTTCGCCGTAGTCCAAATGAATAAATCGCGAGCACAACCATAGGGAGTTGCTTCGTGATTTTATAATACATTTGAAAAAAGAGCCTCTTATCGTCGATATGATCTTTCGTTGGCCTTCTGCGGGTTGTACTCGTTCAGGCCGGATTCTCTGTCGATGGATTGCAAATCCATCAGACAGAGCAAATCCGACAGAAAGATCATATCGACGATAAGAGGCTCTTTTTTCAAATGTATTATAAAATCACGAAGCAACTCCCTATGGTTGTGCTCGCGATTTATTCATTTGGACTACGGCGAAAAGATTCGCTGTGAGTCGGGGAAATGAAGATTGTTGTTATATACTTGGCGTAGCGATTAGGTAATTTTTAAGCCAAAAATCATAATGCCTGTCTCTTATACACATCT